ATATCGACATTGTTAATTCGTGGCGCAACGACATCTCCATCAAATATCAAATCCTCCTCGAAAGTTTTTGTGCCAGTTATGATTTGCATCTCGTCAACATCGTTTAGGACAAAATCGGATGGGTGAATTCCATTAATTTTCTTTATATCCGCATTTCCTAAAACGCGACGGATAAGAAAATGTTAAGTTCTTCCTTCATGCGTTTCAATAATTTTACAGTTAAAACTTTATCTCGAGGCTCTTATTTTTTTTTCCAAAAATGATGAAAGCAATTTTATCATAAGATCACGGAGAGTAATATAAATTCTGTGAAAGTTTCTGTTGACATTCGTATTCTTTAAATTACAAATAAGCACACAAATAAGTACTATCGAATTTTAAACGAATTTAATTTGGATAATTTTTGATCGCCAATCATTTACCTGTTACCGTAACGATACCGTTGAATTTCACGTCGCACGAGATATCGTGATCTCCTTTAAGGGTGACACGATCCTTCACAAACTTGTCGAAATCTATCCTGTCCAAATTTTGTAAATACACGTCGCCCAGCACATCGAGCTCCTCGAAGAAAATATTATCCGGCATAACTTCGTTGAGACGGACCGCGGCGTTGACGGACGCGTTAACATCGGCGTCGTTCACGTAGAGCTTCTCGACCGTGATATCCGTGAGGAACGTCAGTGGACCAACAATAATCGTGTCCTCGCGATTCTGCCTAACGACGGAATCATTGAACTCGAGAATATTCACGTCGTTGATCTTGGCAATACCCAGATCGCCGTTCACCACCAGGTTGTCCACGATGAAATCTTTCGCGAAGACAGTCTTTCCGTTTATCTCGATGCGTTCTCCGTCGTCGATTACGGCGTCCGTTATTACATCTCGAATTTGCTCGAAGTCTTTGTAATTACCGTTGACCGCCCACGCGCGAACGTCCTCCTCAAAAGTCACATTTCCTGTGATAATTTGATCCCTATCTTTGGTCACGGCGTTATTTAACAGATAAGAGACGGAGGCAGGACTGATCGAGGGCGTGTCCCAGGAAATATTTTCGTGCACCTCCAAGAGATCGATATTTTTCGCGGGAATGTACAATAAGCTGTCATATAACTATAACATAGAACGAGAAAGCAAAGAAATTATTTTTTTGTTTAGGAAAAATCTGGAATAAAAGGTCGATAAGATTGAAAAAGCCAGTGGTTGCATCAAAGGTATCGAAGCAGAGCGATTAATTCTTTAGTATTTCTAAAAACATAGTTCTAAATACAATTTTCAATAAAAAAAGTAAAGACATTTTAGTAAATTTTAAATAATTTTTGCAGTACTTACAAATAAATTTAGAAATTCTTTGAAAGCATTTAAGTAATTTTTCTGACTCGCTTTAGGTATATATTTGAAGACTGCAACTCAGAAGAGAATCACGAATTGCTAATTTATGATTAATCAACGCGGTTGATGTAGGTATATACAAGTCACTAAAATATTAAAATAAAAATTGTTGTTTTGTTACCTCGCGTACGTTGCGTCCGTTCATCTTTGGAGTAATCACATCGCCCTCGACGAACAGATCAGAGAACGTTACGTTGCCCGTGATCGTTAGAGGCTCGTCCACCCACATTAACTGCGAAGCGTTCTGTTTGTTGATGAAATCCAGTGTGACGTTGTCGGAGGTGATAACGTGAGCGGAGAATTGTCCCGTTATCGTTTGTTCCTTCGATTTTGAGAGAACGCTGGCGATCAGATCGTCGAAGTTCTGTCCACGAAGAGACTCCAATGTTATATTCTGAACGGACAAGTACTCGATGCTCCTTTCCGACGTTATCACGATGTCGCTCCGCGACAGTACCTCCAAGAAGCTCTCGGTCGAGTGCCCGTCCACTTGGTCGATCGTCAGGTTTTCCACCGTCAAGTCACCGTCAATGACGATCGCGTTTAGATCGGATTTACTCGTCAGGTCCTTCAATCGCGTCAGATTCATCTCGATCCCGTTCAATCTTTCTATTTCCAAGTTTCGTACGTGGAATTCTGGTACCTTCAAAATTGTCAGCTGATGATTGTCGTCGATGTGAAGAAGTCCGTCCTCGAAGAAGACTTCGCGACGATTGAGAAGACGAACATCGAGATTATCGACGAACACGCGATTCGCTTGGACAGTGGGAAGGTTCGTGGTTCCTGAGAAATTCGCACGAGTCTTGTTCATGATGTCGTCCACACTGACGCCGTTGAAAGTCAGAGTAATGATATCTTTCGCTCGGAGAGTCTCCACGTGCAACTTTTCGCGGATCGTTAGTGAATTTGATTCAACTTCGAAGAAACTGTCGTTGGGACGGTCCTCGTGGAGGAACTGATCGACGTTTAAGTTCTCGAAGCGCAGATTAGTGAAATCGCTCGGTATCTCCTCCATCGTGGTATACAGAAAGTCGCTCTCCGCGAAACCGTTGAGATACCTCGTATTGAGTTCGTCGATAGTGATGCCAGCTTCCAGAGTGATTTTTTCAGTGATCGTCTGATCGGTGGATTTGGTCCAATATCGATCGAACATGTCGTTCACGTTTACCGGGACGTCATCCACGAAGAGCGCCGCTGCGTTCTCGACCTTGATGTTCTGAACGTGCAGATCACCAAATATCGTGACATCTTGGTAGATCTGAAGCCACTTGTCGGGTATTTTTATCATAGAGCCGTTCATGTGGAAGTTTTCGGTGACGTAAAGGTTCGGCAGTTTTAATGTGCCTTCAGTGATACAAGAAATTGAATATTCAGTATAACATTATGCATGGATACCAGTACTTGATCGTGAAAGAAAAATGTTCGAAATAAGAAAAAGTTAATTAATTAACGGTATAATATTATTCTAAAGCATATTTATGTTATTTTACCGAATTAAATCTCTTTTGTATAATATTATTATTGCTATGATACTTATACTATATATTAATAGTTATATTTTATCAACTCATTAATTATTAAAATCATAATTGCTCTAAATTGTTACAACTGACAAATCGATTTAATTAACGAATTACCTTTAATAACGTTCTCACGAGATTTTCGCGCAGCTTCCTCAACTGGCACTCCATTAACTGTTTCCGCATACAAATTTTCAATGTGTAACGTTTTGATATAGAAATCGTCGAAGCTCTGATTTGTTGTCGTTGTCATGAGTTTATCAGCGGAAACGCCGTTCACCATCTGTGTCGTAAGATTCATAATTTCCAGCGAGTTCTTATACGTGATTGTACCTGCGATAAGATACCATGAAATTGCAGTCAGCTGCTATAAAATCTGTCCCCAAATACCTCCGTCGAATTTTACACAGTTTTAAAACGGTTAAGAACAAACTATCATACTCAACCTTTGATTTTCTGAGTACGATTGATGATGAATAGATCGTCGATCAGCTGATCGATGACTGTCCCGTTCAGGCTTTTAATCTTCAACTTCGGTATTGTCAAATTGGAATGCAATATAACGGTGTCGTCTGTATACTCGACGGAGCTGTTTGCAATAGCAGATGCGATTCCCTCGTCATTTTGCAACGTCCAATCTGTAAAGGCACCATTTGTACAAAAGGATATATCGCATCGTAGAAACTGCACTTGAAATTCTTATCAGACTTACACTCGGGCGTTATTCCGCAGAGAGATTCAACTTCGAGATCTTGCACGATGATACTTTTCGCGCGTAATGGATGTGTGAAGTATTGTTCGCCCTCCGGGAGGATCATCTTCTCCTTTTGGTCGATCTCCAACTCTTCCAGATGTACATCGTTGGCTACAATATTTTTCTCGAACCCTTCCAACATATCCGCAATTGCCCTCATTTCTTGCTCCGACTTTGACTGTCTTGCCTGAACGACGTCGTGGACATTGCGGTCGAGCTCGTCCAGAGCTCTCGCAATCTGATGAGGTGGCAGAATATCTTCTTCGGTCGCAATCTCTATGCTGTCTATCGTGCCGGATTGTAAGATCAAACTGTCGAAGTTCACTGGTTCTAAAATCGTCAAGTTCTTTGCAGATGGTAAGAGAAACTTCGAGGAAGCCTCAGCTTCTTTTATGGCCGGCATTCTCGCTTGTAATGTTTCGATCAAGTCCGAAAAGCATCTTCTTGTTGCATCGGTATCCCCCACGTTGTTATCTGAAATAGAAATTTTATTCTAAACTTTTCGAATCGTCAGGCTTGATGTGTTCATAACAAAATATGAAAAAAAAAACGCTTAAACGTTCCGTTTAACATATGTGTATGGTATACACGGTTCGATAAATACAAAAGAATTAGTAAGATCAAGATTGAGAAGATGTCCTGTAAATGTTTTATATACTTTTCTATATATTCCATAGATAATTCATTATTTCTAACAAAGTAAAAAAGTATAGTAAAAAAGTATGGAAAATAATATGATTACGGAAGAATAATGTGTACATTTTTTTTTATAACTCTTGCTCTTTTACAAATGAAAAAATAATCAGTATTAATTATTTACTTATTGGTATCGAAGTCAGTTCAGCCTCCCACTGTTCCACCCAGTACACATCCTTTTCTGCAAGGACCAACGTTACATTCATCGTACGTTCGTTCATCAAGACCGTCATATCGACTATCTTCTGGTTATCCTTAAAACGTTTAACATTCTCGCTCTTCCAATCGGACGTACTGTGAAATTTGTACAATTTGACGATATTCTGTAAATCATTTGTCGCATTATTACCATTATCACGTTTCAGGTTCTGGTTTATTTTAATACCGAGCGATTTTTTACACTCACATCGTGCGCCACAACTACGAAAGTATCGCCGTCCATGTGAAAAATACTTATCAGGCTATGCGGTGCGATGTCGGGAAGACTGAACCAATCCAGCAATTCACTCCCTGATAGAAGCAGTACAATATTCTAGACAATGTTTTATTTAAAAAGAAAAAGGAAATGAGGAAAACAACTTTATTGGAATGCACGAACCGTCCCAGCAGAGCACGTT